TTATGAAAGATAGAATTTATCGAACATTTATCTACATAAAAACAAGAATAATAAATTGTAGAAATTGTATTTCTAAAGATGCATATAATTCATATTTCATTTTGTAGACAATAAATATTCAGTAAGATATACTAAAAACGATTATTAATTCTGAAATGTGCATCTCAGCTATTATTAATCAGTAGGCTATGTATTATGTTATAAATTCTTAAAATAATAATTTCGAATTATGATATATTTTGGGCTCTGACTTAATTTAACGATGGCCCTATCAGTAGTAATGACAGTATTTGTGCTTTTTTTAGCCATGTAGTAAAATAGTACTATTATTATGAGAGTCAAGAAGAAGTAGTAGAAGAAGGAGAGGAGGAAAAAGAATAGCTTTTTTTTTGTTTTATAATAATAAACGTGTTGAGTATATTGATATTGATTATGCGATGAGGTTTTTTTTATATCTTTCGGTGTGATTTAAACATGCCAATTCTCAGAAAATATTTTCTAATTTTATTATATTACCACCTTTTCATTACATAGTCTTTTTCAAAACAGGTCAAACTGCTTTTATAACATTATTATAGACCCATTAAACACAAAAACTTCGGGGGCATCGCCCCGACCTCACCGTGGCCCCAGGCACCTGAACCACACCAAGGGTGGCGCCAGCGGGGGAGGGGAGGGCCCCTATCGTGGAGAGCTGCCCCCCCACCGTCGGGGAGAAAAAGCACAATTCGTCGGGGAGAAAAAAAAATTATATATATTTTTTACATATTAGTAGACTCGAATATCAATTTAATAAGCCTTTGAAACCCCTGAATTGTCAACATTTTTGGGGGGGGGGCTTCACCCCCAGGACCACTTTTGGAACCTATTAATTGAAGCCCGACCACGCCCACTTTGCTTTCGTTGGGGAAATCTGACCCCTCGTCCGGACCCCTCGTCCGGGCACCTCCCCCGGTCGGGGCACCTATAGACACTCGGTAATGGCACTTTCAGAGGGTAAAAATGCTTTTTCAGAGCAACAGATCAGTAACAGATTATTGCAATTTTCCCGATGCTCCCTCTCCCGTAGACACCCCTCTTCTCACGGGTGTTGCGAAGGTCTAATAATATTTTCTACTTTTTAGGTAATAACACATATTTGGTTGGATATCCTGGATCTGCCCACGCACTAGCAGGAGCTCATAACTTAAAAATATTACCGGTTGATATAAACAATACAAATAATACAATTATTTTTCTTAACACAATTTAGCACTGTCTGACCACAACCCCCGCATCCACCACACAAAACACATCATAAATTCATATACGGCCTATAAGTTCAGTTCTGTACTTACTGCTTTCTTGAGGTTCGCAAAGTCGTGCTCTCCCAAACTCGGGTCGTTCATGCAATCTGGCCGTGATTCCCTGGGTTTCTGATAAAAGAATGTTCTTGGGCCGTGTCTGACTATATCAAGCATCATACCAATCAATACAAGAAAACCATAGAAAATGGCAAAAAACCATTTAAATAAGAACATTGCAAATAATTGTAATACTTTAGCCATGATCTCTGTGTAGCGGGTTTATCGAGGGTAGAAGCAACTGGGTTCCTAATCAGCTGACTGAGTCACCTTACCGTTGTCACAATCAATCATATTACACCGTCTAGCTTAGTGCATGGTCGAGAGGGTCGAGCGGAAATGGAACGCGAAGGCGAATGACATTGACGACACCGACGACAATTCACGGACCCCGGGACGAGAAGGTGTCACGAACATATCACGAAAGTGGCTGGAGGGGACGGTATTTGAGTGAATTTTCCCCTACCTTAAAACATTTATGAATATTAGCAATTAGAGGATATCTTATATTATTGACTTTGAATCCGCCCCGGGAACCGGCCATACCAAAGATCTTTGACGTATTATTATTGGTGGCGCAACACACCACAAAACGCCCCCACAATCACGCTGTTTTGACGAAGTACCTCCATGTTTTGTTGTGTTTTGTGGTATCATCGTTTAATGAGAGGTTTGAACTAGTTTTACTCAATTTGCTGGTGTAATCTATTGTTTAGAAAGGTAATTACTGAAACATAAAATCAACAGAACTAATTTGTTAAATAACTGTTAAACCAGTAAGTCGTAGTTCAACAAAAATCTGCTTTTATAACATAACATTGCCTAAACTAGGCCTAGGCTAGGCCTAAGCCCTAGCCTAGCTAGGCTAGAGCTAGGCTAGGCCCTCTAGTAGGGGGCCTATCTATTCTCCTCCAACTCTAGAGGAATCCTATCTATGATGATGAGTAGTACATCCGACATCGGCATCAAACTCCGGTGGACAGGCTAGCTAGGTCTAAGGCCCTGCTGCACTACAGACTAAGGGCTTCATTGAGTGATACTCCATCCAGCCGGAGTCTAGGTATCTCATTCATGTATCAATTATAAAAAAAATCAGAAAATTTAAAATGTGTTTTGTTTGTCTAGGCCTAGGCCTATTGGAATACATGCACAGGTGTAGGAAGGACTGTTTCGGCCATGAACCAGACTGTTAAGGGTTGCGTGGGAAATATATCCGCAGATTTCCGCACAGGTTTTAACCTAATCTTAATATCTGTACAGTATATTAGTAATAGTAGGCAGGCCCCTTTTATGAATCATTCTGCGCACTTGGTTGGGCTAGTTTTTGAGGTACCGCAATGTAGGGAACACTTTTTGTATTGTATATTTTCAGTCAGTTCGATTCATTGAATGACTTAAATAAATATCCTAATACTGATGCTCATGATGAGAATGTTTACCTTACGACATCATCTCTTTCTAAAAGCCTTGAGGTTTCGGAAAAAAAAAAGAAAAAAGAATCGGACAATTGTAAGGCATTATACGTCAATTTAAAATGTAAGCAAAAATTTTCATTTTGCAACACGTACTTGGATCACAATTTTCGGGTATAGCAATTTGTGACCCATCAAAATGTTAAAAATTGAAAGATCAACGTTGAATTAACTAAGAACGTGTGTCTTTTCCCCGGTGTAAGCTGATTCTTTTTGACGCTTTTAATTTTGATGCACGTCCACTGTAGACCTAGGATCGCAGATCTTACCTGGCCAGCCGATATGTTAACCAAATGTTATAAAACATTTTTGGCCAAATAATATATTTTTTATAGATGTTACCATATTAGTAGGCTACAGTTTTGAGAGATTGCACACCAGGCAAGGAGTGATCGACCAGTAACAAAAGAGAGTAATTGTTTCCTTCTGAATTGTTGATGTTTAGAAAATGACTGGTAATTTGATATATACTTTTTATAAAATGTAAAATTCAATGCAATAATTTTGCATTTTATTAACTTACTTTTAGTAGATTTGATGCAATTTTAATGTGTAAACTCATTTAAAACAATTTTAATTTGGGATAGTTTTAATGGTTTTCTTTCTTACTTTTAACGGCTAATATGTTAACTTAATTTCAATTATATACTTTTTTAATATCACTTTTATTCATCAAAAATATACATCAGAACACATTAAAATTCATATGAAATTGAGTGAATAAAAGGAAATGAAAAACCCCAGACTTGTCGAATTAAAAAACATGCAGGGGTGCCACAAGACAAAAACATCAAAAGCAAATTTGGACATCAAAAACAAAGAAACACGAGGAAAAAAAAAGAACAATAAGACAGTTTATCGTCGAGGACCAGGCGTTCCCCTGGCGAGAAGGCAAACGTAGCAAATAGAAAGCCTATCCCTTTTTAAACAGGAAGAACAACAAAATCGACTCCAAAAGAAAAATAATCGACAAAAAGCTGCTCTCCAACATCAAAACAATACACAGGACAGGAAGTTGAATCCGTTTGGGAATAGTCGGAAAAATGCAAAAATTCGCAGAGGCGTTATAGCCACGTCCAACTCAATTCCGCCATTGATCGAACTTAATCTAAACTATTTAATACCATTCAAAAATAATATCTTAATGTTTAATGTATAACTGAATATAGATCAATTTTGGCAAAAACATACTGTAATCTCTTGACTAAGCCTAGCAGTTGTAGGCTTAGCTTTTAAAATTGTAGTAATAAATGTAATAAATTTAATAATTATAATAATAGTAAAAGATGCAACTCTCAAGCATCCAACTAAATTTTGCTTCAGTAATGTTGCTGACATGCATTTTGGTGTAAAGACGACATCTCAAACAGACAGAGAGATATCAGTTTAGACACTGTGTTGGAAGTACTAAATGATTTGCTATTTTTTGACACATCTCTCGCATGAAGTTATGCATGATGGTCGCGAACTACCCGCGAACTACGTTGCAAGGTTTATGAAGGATCACTTAAGTTTCAATCTACATACAATCATTAGGGAACGTTGGGATAAGTAAATAAATGCTATTTTGAACAATCGTAATGCCTAATAACCTAGCCATTTAATTCTCACCTTTGTGGGTGGTTGTTTTTGCAACCAAAACATTATCTTTCCTGTAATATCGCACTGTAATGTTTTTCATTTTCATTTCATACCCAAGTTAAGTCACATGACCGGCTGTAAACAAACGTCGCTGAATCCCTCTATTAAAGAATGTTTACATTTTTTTTGCTAGATACAGTATAGTGGAGTGAGGAACTAGTGTTTGACATGAGTGCAAACATTGCAGAATTTATTGGCAGTTACCTGTCTCTGGATTGTGGAGATCCTCTTGGTACATACCAAGGAGAGGTGGAAAATGTCAACAAATGTGAACAGACAATCTCACTCAAAACTCCCTTCCACAATGGTGTAAAAACTTGTATACCTCTAGTGACAATAAGGTAATTATATTTTATTAAATGATTTTTATTAATTAATGATAGCAGGGTTGTAGGTGTAGAAAACTAACCCCGGTATTCTTAAAACAAACCTTAGTCGTAGTTCGAGCTAAAACTATGTTATTTCGTATTCTTAACGAACTTCGACTAGCAGCACTACGATTAATGACGTGAACCTCGATTAAAGTGATACCTCTGCAGACCGATTTTGTGAAACGAATAAAAATGATTGTATACGCAGGTTTGATGTATCTTCGGTGTGTTAAACAAAAGAGACATCACGTTTAGCTTCCAAAAGGAGAAATTAACATGTTTTGCTAGCCACATGCGATAGTTCCCGATTTGCATGAAATCCCCTCACGTTGTGATCACCTAGCTTCACCATAACAACAACAAAGATGGCGTCGCCCTCGCTCGGGCTCAACTATAATAGTTCTCCAAAGAAAGTAAATTTTCAGTGACTGTTCAAATTCTTTATCGTAATATATTAACAACTGATAGTTAATATTATAGAAAATTAATTGAGTGAATGATGGTCTATTATGAATTATGAGGAAATACGTTTTTGAACCACAGACGGCAGCTTAATATTCATCCGCGTTATCTCTAAAATTTTGTCTGCTATAAAAGTTAGCACCTTTCATTGGTTAGTTTGATAGTTGTGGCTTGCCAGTTGTCTTCAGTTAAACTAAAACTAGGACTTGATTTAGTCGTAGTTAAAACTTCGACTACGTTGTTTGTGAATAGAAATTGAAGTTGGAGTTGCAACTAGCACTAAATGAAGTTCGAAGTTCGACTAAAAGTTTGTTTTAAGAATACGGGCGTAAGGGTGGGTGATAGAAATTTTAAGGGAGGGGTGGGTGATAAAATTGGTAAACTTAAAATAATAAGAGTGGATTTTAAGGATGGAAAAGTTGGTTTAAAAATAAGGGTGGCTCGAGGGCCATGAAATTGTCTTTAGATTGGGTGGAAAACTTCAAGGCTGGGATGTTCTTATTTTATCGTATTGTACACACTTTTCAAACATAGAAAAAGTATTATTGTACAGCAGTATACACTGTACTGGAACGTAGGTAAAAGTGGCCCCTGAAAAAAAGACCCAGGAGAAAATTCCCCCAGAAAAAAAGACACAGGTAAAAATGGCCCCAAATGACAGGTACAGTAGGTACCCCTACTGTAAGATTCAAGATTCAAGAAATGTTATTTTACCATAAAAATACAGGTATAAGGTATAATTTTTTGGTTTTTCTAGTTTTTTTAAAAATAAAAATCTCGTTTGACATTTTACCTCAGCCTCAATTTGTTCTTATTTTGTTCTTAATTTTTAAGCAATTTCAGCCTCAGTGTTCTTATACTGTAAAATAAACAAAAGTGTACTGCATAAACTTTTTAAGATGTACAGTAAGTGCTGAAGGTTGTTTAAACATGAGGCATGATTTTATAAATTATTACCATACTCGTGCGAACAAGAGCCCGGGCGCTTAAAATATTTTTTGCACTTTCTGAGGGGCGCTTATGAAAACAGAGTGGAAATTGAGGGGGTGCTTATGGAAATAGATGAAAATTGAGGGGTTCTTATGGGAAATTATTAATTTCAAGAAGAACTCTTTGAATGAAAAAAGATTAAAGGACATTACGAATGGTGGTTAGAAAAGATAATCGTCCAGAGAACATGGCTCATGACAAGAATGCGTGAATATTAATACAGAACAGCAAAATAGCAGATGCAATTAGTGGTGGTGGGTAGTGGTTAGCCTGTTGGCCATCAGCCGATTGAGATTAGCAGGATGGCAAGATCATTGTATTTTTTCTTGAAAACTCAGATGAGAATGTGCTAAAGGTCGGAAAAAGAAAAAGAGGAGTAGGACTAGGCATAGACAAATACGTAAAAAGAGTAAAGTTTGAAATATACTGTCTGTCCAGGGATCGGAGCTCTCCAAGAGAAGTATCCTAATTTTTATATTAACCGAAGAAGAATGTGTTTCCACTCTACAGCTCAAATCGTGCCAACAACCACAGTCCCAGGATTCATTGGATTATTGACTTGCTAAAAAGAAAATCTTATGAGGGGGCGCTTATTCAAATGAGAAGGGAGCGCTTATTCAAACGGGGCGCTTAAGAAAATGTTCACGTTAGGAGGGGCGGTTATTCGAGAGGGGCTTATTCAAATAGGGCGCTTATTCGCGCGGGTACGGTATTTATACTCTTATGTTTGAGCTAATAAATTTGACCAAACTTTATACAGCTTTTAAAGATTTTTATTTTCTATATATTTGTCATTCAATTACAAGTTTATAGAACAAGAAAACATTTCCTAACATATTTTCAGATGCCATAATTATTGAAGATGTATAGTGTGGAAGATGATGAATTTTATATTTATTGCTGACTCGGAATAATCCATGTAGTTGAAAAGTACTGTTAAGCTGATAACTGTATTCTTGTTTGATAATTAAAATTAGCAAATCAATGCCTTAAATTGAACTCTTCTCTCTAATAAATATGATTGACACTTTTTGTTTCATAATTAAAACTGATATGTTTTTTTTTTAATATAATCTTATTTTTAATTAAAATTTAGTGCTAAGGACATTAAAGACCTACAGATTCTTAAAACACAAGAACAGGTTTCAAAGGAGAATGATTCAAAAGTTTCAAAACTTCCAACAAAAGGCAAACCAGCGAATATCGTTCTTAATAATCGTGATGAAGCAAATCTTCTTATAGACAGAGGTCAGAGGACACCAAGAAAAAACCAAACATTTTTTAGCCATTCCCCAAATGGGAAAAAAGAAGAGAATGGGTATCGAAATCAGTATAATTCTCAAGAACAAGATGGCCAGATTCCACCAAGGAGATCAAGTAATTTGGATGGACTCGGAATTTATCAATCCTCTCATAGGATAACTGATAATAGCCCAGATAGGTTAATTACAAGGAGGAATAGTAGTCAACAAAAGTATTCGGCAGTGATAGATGATAGTGGAGTACAGATAAAGAATGGAAAATTAAATGATGAGGATGACAAACGAAGGAAAAGACATAATTCCGGTAAAGAGAAAAAAATTATACAAACATTTTGTATTATTAAATATGTATTTACCTTTGTAAATTTTGACAAACCTTCTATTGACAATATATTTTTAATCTACTTTATTAAAAACAGATACCCACTTCATACTTCTGAGTAGTGGGAAACCACATTTATAATGTGGTTTGCACAAGGTGTTGTCGATATTGGGAAGCAAACCCTGCTGCCATCTGTTTTTAGAGATGGTGTTTAATCTACTGCTCTCAATTTAAAATTGATATAAAAGAACTCAGGCATAATAGTCAGTGGCATATCTAGGAGTCTTGAAGTCGAGGGAGATTATGGGGGCACAAAGGTGTAGTGGAGAAGGGATCAATGATTCGGTGAGGGGGGCGTTAGCTTGCAAAATAAGGATGATTTTTAATTACTTGAGTGTGATTTTTTTCAATGAAGCCGACTGGGGGGAGGGGAGAGCGGGGGAAATATGTTTTTTTGTTGGGGGAAATATGTTTTTTTGTTGGGGGGGTGGTTGAGTGCGTGCAGTTCTGTGCACCCTGGATATGCCGCTGATAAGAATCTTTATTTCTCTAGGCTCGTTTGAAGCAAAGGTGAAGGCAAGTCCTAAAAAAATAGAAGGTCGCAGTAAGAGTCTTCGTGCTAGGAAGGATCTTGAGTGTTTCAGCGCCCCCACAGAGAGCTTCCTGACAGATTTTGACTTTGAAAGCAACCTAGCCCTATTTGACAAAGCAGCAATATTTGAGGCGATCGATGCCAAGTCGGGCACAATAGAAACCGTTAACTCTCCGAAACAAGAACCCAAATTTCGACATGATGAAATGATTGTAGATACTGGCAAACCCACAGCCAAACGACAGATTCTAGTAAACAGATCAGTCAATTTAAAGGAATATACAACAGGTTGGTGATGTTATGCCCAGTTGACTCATTTTTACTTTACTCTTTTAAACTTTGAATTCCCTTTTTCCATTAAAATGATATTTTTCTTTCATATCGCTTTATGCATTCCTCTTATAAAACAGATTACCTTTCCCTCTTCTAGATTTCTTTTCTTATTCCCCTTCAATTCAGCATTCACTTTTTATTTCCTTTTTTTCCATAATCCTGATTGTTCTACCAAAATCTTTTTTCTTTGTACTAGATCCCCGCTCCATTTATTTTCCAATGTTTCCTATATTTTTATCCACCGTTGATTCTCAGTGGAATCGCAAAATATAATCGCAGTCAGTCCTTTGTTTAATATTTTTATGTTCACTTATTTAATTTATAATGAAGATGAAGGCTTTGTTGTACCAAGCATATCTCAAGATCTACATGAGAAATTGTTAATTAATGCTGAGAAGTCTGGTATAACAGTTGAGAGAAGAATAGAGGCAGTTGGCAGGACTGCTGCTGTCATGGCCTTACAAGTCCTTGGCGGCGTAAACAGGTAAATGAGGCGAGAATTTTTTTATACCTTCTTTAGCGAACCCGCCGACTGCAAATATTGATGATTTTGAATAAAAATAAAACATTTTTTTGGCCAATTAGCGCACCTGCCGCCACGAAAAAGTGGAAATTTCAGAAAAAAAATAAAGTTTGTCTTTATTTTTATTACGCCCTCCACTGCCTTGAAATCTCCAAAGATGAGATATTTCTTTGTAATTATATAAATTTGAAGCATTTAACCATTCTATTTTACATTCACCAATAAAATTTTATTTTTATTTTCTCCTCCATCTTGATGATTTTGGCAAAAATAGTTGCTAAATAAGAAAGCAAAATTTTATTTTTATTTTTATTCGCTCTCCGATAATCTTAAAAAATAAGTATGTGAAGCAAGGAATAAAAAAGCAGTCTTGCCTGGAGTTGAAAGATTAGGATTGATAATGCTGTAACTGTACAATTGTTTAAAGACTCCTGGAACTCCAGAACTTGTTTTTAGTAATGAATGCCTAAAAATTATGAATATAAATAATATTCTAATGCTATGTCCACACTATACAATTTTTTTTGACAAAAAAGTGTTGTATGTCCATTTATAGTCAAGATTTGATAGTCTGAATGGGACTTTAGCTGTCCAATTATGTTTTTATCTTGTTGATTTAAAACGTTGTACTTTTGTTCATTAATTGTAGGATCAACTTTGAAAACAGTCATCAACTCCCCTCGGTGGTGGTACTGTGTGGACCACATGTTCAGGGCGCCCAGGGGGCGTGCTGTGCCCGTCATCTTGCCAACCATAACCTACCCGTTACAGTATTAGCTCCAAATTTGGTAAAAATGCATGACTTATTGGACCAAGAAATAAAGCTATTTCAAGAAACGGATGGTGTCGTCGTAACAAATTACAAAGGTATTGATTTTATATGTATTTTTTTTATAGATATTTTATATATTGCCTTTTTTTCTCTTTTTTTTTTCTTGCCCTATAAAAATATTCTATACTTACCAATTCACCTTTACAGATTTACCTGTTGAACCGGTGGATCTTCTGATATGTGCCCTTGATTCGCACCATACTCACCTTCGATCTCAGGGCTGGTACCAGACCACTGTCCAGTGGGCAACGCAGTGCAAAGCACCTTTGCTAACATTAGACCCACCCAGTAACCAAACTATCAGTTCAAAATGGGCTCTTGCTGTTGGTCTACCATTCACATATGGAGATGCTGTTGGTAAGCTCTACCTAGGCGACATTGGTATCACATCAAAGGTATTCACTAACACAGGTGTGAAATACAGCTCACCTTTTGGTCATAAATTTGTAATTCCATTACATAACACTTGAGGCAATTATTCAGTCTATCATAATTAGAGGCATTAAAGCAAGACATAGCATTATCAGATCTTGTATCTGTCAGACTGAACAAACATTGGTTTGGTCAAACATCTGATGCAGTACGCCCAGCTTAAGAATTATCTGATCAAATAAATTGTATTTGTTTATGCTTGTTGGAGAATGCTGTACTTCATCAAACATATTGTATATCAGTGCTGGTTTCGGAGGATGCTTTACTTCATCAAACATGTTTGATCAAACAAATTGTATATCTTTCTATGTTGTCAGATAATACTTTAATTTATTAGACGTGTTTGATTAAACATTTAATTTTTTAGCTTTGATCGAAATTTATGAGTAAAGCTTATTGTCCCCATCAAGTTCAACTCTCCATCGGTACAACATGTTTTACTATAACAAAGGAGTTTAACTTTCATTTTAATTTTAAAGACATTTTTATGAAACATGCAGTAGTGGAGTTTGTTTGGTCTTTCCAGTCCTATCTATAAGATAGGGATAACTCTATTGTTTGTTTTTAGTTTAATACTATTTTTCTCAAAGAAAACATAGTCAACCATTGGTAGAATTTATGAATAAATAAGAATAATACTTAAATAAAATTTAATTTCTGCCAAGTTTTTATGAGCTAAGGATTACCTCCTCAGTATTTCAAGGAAACATTACATAGCTCCCATTTTTAATGTTGTGTAGTTGTTGCGTAAAAACTTGTAATACCACATTGAGAAATAAGAAGGTAACCTCTTGCTTTTCGTTCCAAGATGCCCTGGTTATACAGTAGCTGTATTTTATGTGTATTCTGTATGGTGTGATAGTTCTATTATTATTTTTGTAATGAAGAGAAAAATGATCTGTGAATATGTGTCAAGAAATATATTTTAAATAATTTATATATTTTACATGTATTTCATAGTATAAATTAGGATACAGAATGTATTTTTTGTATCTAAATTTCCAGGACAGAATGCGAGTGCGTGAGTAATTAATTTGATTGTTTGGTTGATGTTAAAAATACACTTTCTACTTCCTATGATGTTGTTGCAAACCTACCAGGTACCCACTTACTCTTTTGATTACTTTTATTTTTTACAAAAGACACAAACGAATGGGCAGACTTGAACTCTAACATTTTGATTGGAAGCACAGTACAGTACCATACTGCTATTCCACATGGTTTCATGCATATCCATATGTGAAAGACCATATTTGAACAACACCATTAGCTACTCAATTAAAAGATGTCATATGAAAGTTTTTTTCTCTAAAAATCTCACTGTTTTCCTATTGATTGAAACTTGATACTGTTTGATTATGCTAGATAGGAAACAGTAAAATTACATCTGGAATCAAAATTTTAAAAGAAATTCAATTTTAATTAGAAATTTGTTTTACTACCAAAGTAGAATTTTTAAATTTAAGATTCTTTTAATTTCTTCCGAGTTGAAACTAACAATTATTCAATTTCCTTGTGCATAAATAATTAGGCAATTTGTTTTTATTTGTTCACTGTCTAAATACCTTGAGTACAGTATCAAGTTTGTGTAGGTGTCTTTTGTCATGAGAAAGCTACAGTACTTTGTGTCCCATTTGACTAAAAGTATAGAATGTGCATTTAAAAAGCTGTTTCTGTATTCAGACATCTGGAGTTCCAAACAGAGTTATTCATATTTGAAATCACTATAATTTATTTTTGTCATTACCAGGAAATGATAACTTCCCTCTTGAATACCACCACGCTTAAATGTGTCATGCCAAATTTGCATTTTTTGACTCTTGAGTAAGCGGTGACTATATTATTTTGGGTAAACATCACATGGCTTAATCATGAGTTTATTATTATGCCTTGATGTTTGATCATCAAAAAACTACACAACCAATTTCTTACGATATGCCTATATACAAAACATGATACCATTTGAATTATCAATAATGTGCGCTGCTCTCGAATAAGGAACTTTCTGGAATAAACGCCATGCTTATCGTGATTTACGATACTAATTAATATTTTTTTTTTATTACTGTATTTTTGTCTTAATGTTCAATTACTGTTTTGAACAGATTGTACTTATACTGGAATACAGAGTGTATTTTTAAATGTTCTTTACTTTTGAAAACATTGCCTGTCCGTCATCATTCATAGAGTTATATATTTTATTTCATGACTCTTAAATATATAAATATAATTTTTGTTTAAATGTTAATCTTTTGTAAGCGTATACTTTGTTGTCTTCCAACCACTAAAAAATATGTACAGCTATATTCAAATCTGGCTTACTCTAAATTATCAACATAATGATGGTAATAAATATAAATTCAATACATAACATAAAATTATAATTGATACTGCTAAAAGCACAATAATTCTAGCATTGGTTCTCATGTAATTATTATACATTATGTGTTTAGTCTATCTAGTGTAATATCAATTTCAGTTCCAGTTCACACGGATATTTTATTTACACTGATGTGAACTGTTATTTTAATACTTCAATATTATTTCCTATCAGTAATTTTCCAAGCTTTCATATTTTCAAATGCAGCTTCCCTGTACATTTATGAATCACCTTTTATATAGTTGCCTTTGTGCAGTACATTTGTTTACTGTTTATCAAGGAACTATAGGTTTGTTTCTGTCACACAGGTAGAAATTAACACTTGTAGCACCTCTTTGTATCTGGGGCTATATAAAAGCCTTCAAATAATAAGATAGGGATGGTTAATTAAAGAGAGTCATGATTGGTTTGATGGAGCATGTTAGTATCAACTAATAGATAAACCCTCTAATAATAAGGAAGGGATAGTTAATTAGAGAGAGTGATGGATAGTTAGATGGTGCATGTTGGTATCAACTACCTGTACAGATAAAAGCCTGGAATGGTTAATAAAGAGAGTCATGATTGGTTAGATGGTGCATGCTAGCATCAACTAACAGATAAAAGCCTGTAGTAATAAGAATGAGATGGAATAATTAAAGAGAGATCGGTTAGATGGTGCATGTTGGTATCAACTAACCAACAGATAAAAGCCTCTAATAACAAGATAGGGAGAGTCACGATTGGTTAGATGGTTTATGTTGCTCTGGGGCAATATATTCTAAGCAGCACACACATTTTCTTAAGATGAGCATTATAATTGTTTATTTTATTTTTGTCTGATCCCCTACCATAATTACAGTAGGAGTTGTTGATGCGAGAGATGGTTTTATTTGTTAGTATTTGATCGTTAAGCTTTCGTCCAAATTGTTGTATAGTAATCAAGGTAGATTAGATAGCATTGATATATTTATCTTGGTATTTTTTATTTACATCAGAACAAAGATAATACAAAACAAATGTCCATAGTAACCGGTAGTTGAATTGAGGCATTTTCATATTGATAATATCCATAGTGATATTTATATAAAAATGGAGAAGTTTTCAATTGGATGTTTCATATGCTTATGATTATGTGGGTGATATTTCAGCGAGTGGGGTGGAAGAGTGGAAATTTCTTGTATCATTTCACTGTTAATGTGCTTTTCTTTGATTTATCTTGTTTTTTAACATATTTTTGGGCAAACTGTTGTGTAAATAAATATAACTATTGTAATTATTAGATAAGAGCCTGGTGCATACTACTAAATAAAATAATATATTTTAAAGTGGGTCCCCAAAAAAGAATCACTATTTTTACAAGACCTGTATATGTCTCCCCCCCCCCACCCCCTATAAATTATGATTTATTGGTATGCTAACACATAATTTATAAATAGTTCCTCTAGTAAGTAAGTTTGAGGATATATTTGTAATCAATTTTTTCCCACAACAAATTTAACTTTATCCTTCCTTATGGCATCCATCTATAAGCAATATGTAATCTACTTGGAACTGGGCATTTTAAATTATAATTTATAGTTTGTTACTCTCCATTTTTTCAGATTTTGTTGTAATTTGTATATAATTATCTTAAATTCATTTTTTCACTGTAAATATTTGTCAGTCTGTTAATATTGTGAGGTACACTTCAGGTTAAATGCTTGGATGTTGTCCTTGAAATGGGAAGTACAGTGAGGTACAGTGATATATGAATTAAATAAATAGGCCAGTTGTGATAGGAACTGTATCGTATCCTTTCAGTTGTTGATAATTAAAAAAACATCATGATGGTTTCTATGTGGACTTGATAATGGTCTTCGTCTAATCGATAAATTTTAGACCCTCACTGTTTGCTTGTCTTCATGCTTCAATGGGTACCTGTTTGGGTCAAATAATAAGCCTCAAGGGGGATTGACACAACTATGTAGATAAACGGATAAATTTGGATTAAGATTAGTTTGTGCATAATGACCTTTGAAAGGATGTTACACAGTTAGTTAATTATCAAGTATTTGAAATTTAGATCTATTATGCGATTAAACTATGTGGACCTGCCATACAATAACTTATTGGTAGGCTCTTGAATCCAATGTGAACTCTGTTGATAAGGGGGTCCCCAATGAGTGGGGGTGGTCAGATATCTAAAGCCCTGTTGAGGTACTGCATGGATGCCTCTGACCATCTATACAAGATTGTTAGGATTAAAGGTAAAAGTAGGATAATATTCTTCTCAATGGCAGGGGCAGAAATTATCCTTAATATTGGGGTAAACCTGTCCCCCACTATACAGTAGGTCCTATCTACAAGTTTATAGATTGAGCTAATCAAGTTTTACAGTACAGCATTGGCTAGTCATATTTTTTTTATTATTGTAGGCCTAGACTTATAATAGTAGTGGTACAAAATTAAATATCTTGAGTAACTTCTTCAACATAATCCCCCTCCACCCCCCTTTTTTTTTAATCCCCTGCAGTGATATATTAAAAAGGAAAAAGTAAATGTATTCTACAGATATGAACTGTAGGTTGTTAATAGAATTTACAATATGAGGATGTAAATAGGTAATGCAAGTAACACGATGGGCTGAGCCCTTAGGATTGTAAATAGTTGTCCTGTATCACAACAGTGGATACAGATAAGAATAGGATGCAAGTTTATTGTGTAGGCCTATAGAACATCAATGCACAATTGAATGTAATGGATGCAGTGTATGGAATACAAGGTTTGTTCCATGTCATGATAGAAAAATGTGCTACAAGTTCTATAAGAATAGGTGCTAAATAATTTGTTAACAATAACAAATTATCATTATGATATTCTTCATTCATTATTATCAAAATCAGTTTTTAAAATAATATATATTTTATTTTATTAGTATTGCCATTGTTATTATTTTTTTTGTAGTTGTAGTTAGGATAACCCATCTGCTGTATAATCTTTTATTTATTTTTTTATCATGCTATACATAGCAAACAGGGCTCATCCCAAGCTAAACACATTATATACAACTATCATTATCTCATTTTCTTGATCTGTTTAGGTGTGGGAAAGCAGATGAAGTAATATTTCATTATAGTACCCAGGTCCACAAATACGGAACTTAGCACCTTGACATAGCTGAACTATTTGTATTTAGTTAAAAAAGTTTATGTTGTAATCAATCCAACATCAATGATAATACTAATTTTTTTACCTTATAGTTTTTTAATCATATTTTTTTTAAGGGGGTTGGGATGAAAATAAGATTTCTATTAATAATAACATATTTGAGTCATTCCAATTAAATTAGTAACAATCAAAAACCTAATCAGAATAACATCACAATCAAATTTAACAATAGAAATATATATCTAAATTAAATAGTAACAATACAGTATTCTTATTATTGCACGGTGGTTATTATGTGGTACTTAAGAATATATTTCACATTGTTTTTATGTACTTTACTCTAAATTAAAGAACAATATTTTTAGTTATGTCAATGTTAGAATTTAATAAACAGCAAAAAAGTTAACTGTTGTTATAGTAGCCACTGACTTTATAATGTGATAGATTATAACTATACAGTATTTCTATCAAAATCATGTAGGCTTTTTTTTGGTTGTACTCTTTATTTTTAGCATTTTGATTTAATAAGGTTTCATTGTTGTAAATCAGTACTGCTATTAATGCAGATTTTTTAAAATAACGATTGATCATAATATTAATATTTATTAATGTTAAATGCTAATTGTGTTTACAGCTCCTATATTATAATCAGTGGCGCATCATAGAATAAATTGCAGGGTATGCTAGGGGCTGCCATCCAAAAAAAATAAATAGCTAGTGGGGAAAGTTTGATCTATTTTAATCAAACACAGCATTCTATGTATGTTCTATTTATACCGGCATGGTTGTAAATTATAATTACAATACAAGTTTCTTCAGCACTGGATATCTGTACTGTATATGCAAATTTATTTTAACTTTATAATTACTGATTACCTGTTCAACAGCTAGGAGGCCCAATTAGCTTACTGTACAGTAATACTGTCGTACAGAAGCAGTGAGAAGATACTGTAAGCATGCGTACTTGTCTTAGAACCAGTACTTCCGTTCTAGTGTTAAATTTGCTATTCTAATGCCACCGTGTTGTTGGAAGAATAGCAAATTTCGCCATTATAAGGTATGCTCCCATTTCCATTAACTCACTGAATGCTATTTGCTGGTATTAGAAAACCAACCATGTGGAAATTCTAAGCAGCTGAGAGTACGATGCAGTTTGCTCAGCGGTAGTAGTAGATTGGTTGAGCTATCCTAGATACCAAAGGATTTAAAAACTAATACTGTCTTTTAACGAAGCTATTCCAATGAAATGTAGCAATCAACTTAATAAAATTAAGGTTGGTATAGATGATTTTGGATAAGAATAGCTAAATATATAACGGAAAAAAGATACAATAAAATATTTTCTCTGGAGTTTCAGTTTTGGTATGCAGTGCGTACCTTGCATCCCATGACGGTCCGCCACTGATTATAATAGAATCTGATTTTGAGGTTATGACGATGAGAGTATGACTGTATTGCAACAGGTGATGAAGATGTTGATGATGATGTTTATGATGATAATGATTGACAATGATGATGATATTGAGGGCCCTTTAGTACCAGTGTTGCTAATAATACATAGGGCTTATGTCGTGATGATCATAATCTTTATATCCTGATCATGATGATTATGATCATGAACTTAATGATCTTTGTCTTGATAAATGATAATGATGGTTTAATCTAAAAAAACTCAGATGTTTAGTTGACATGAAGTTAATCTTTCTATAAACTAAATGGTGTGGAGTTTGCTTAAAAACCTACACACATTTGATTTTTAGATTGGCCTTATCCATACCTATCTTGTAATTGTTTCATCTGTGTCAGTGCTTTAAGTGCAATGCATACATTTGTATGTGGAACTCCATGATTGCATTATTATCTCCTGGTACTTTATTTGTAAGAATTCTCCCATAGTGGGAGTAGCTGTAGAAATTATGGGAATAATCATTAAATGATGATACAGGGAAGTCTAGAGATAATTAACACAAGCTTTCATGCTCTTCTTCAGAGAATATTCACAAAAGCTGGTATTTTACATTGTTTGCTATCTGTTTAAGATGTATCTCAAACCTCAGTTGCTGATGAGACAATATGACATTGAAATTTCAACTTTAGTAAATTGTTCATCACCCTTTTATAAATTGTTCACCCTTTTGTCTTCTAAACCTTTACTACTTTGTGTTATACTTTATTATTTTGTGTTTATTTTGTTACAATTTTGTGTATGGGTTACAAATCCTACATTCCATATGTGTACATTATTAGCACTCAACGATATATGTTTTAGATTTAAGTTTAATGCAATAGCATTTATTATTTAAACTAAATCAGAAAAAGGGAAATCAATACTCTTGTTACTGATAGTCTTTAATGGAAGAAACATTTGTTGTAGAACCAAACAACTGCATTGTGTGTATTGTAAACCAAATCCACTTGATGTACAGTATTGTAGACAGACATTTCTTGTAATGCGAAGAACTAGTGAATACCATTTTATTATTTTTTATTCATAAATGCTTTGACTATAGTATGGTGTCATTACTTTTCTTTATATTTTTCCATGAATGTTTTTTTTTGTTGTTTGTCACGGTATTATAAATATTGTTGATTATGTTATTACATACCATCTGTATTCGAATAAATGTTCTGCTTTGATTAAACAATCACTCAAATAAACAGGACATTTGTTTTCTTTGAATTCCCCTTCACCCTACCAAAATGACAAAAGCACTCCAAGCAACACCACTCTCAAGCGAGCTATTGTGATCATACAATAACCTTGTGCTGTGCTCTCCATTTTCAGTGAAATGAAGGGGGAATTTATTTGCATGCATCTCTTTTACACTGAAAAAATCAATGCCTCCCTTGAATAAACTCCTCCCCAAATAAATTCCCTCTCAAAAACCACACTTAACACAATACACGCCAGAAATTTATTCAAATAAATATGGTATTGTTATTATTCATAATAAATGTGTTTATTACTATTATTATTAAATGTTTTTATTTTAACTATAGAACGAGTTGGAAGGATAATTCTATTTCCGTCTTTCACCATACCAGCTTAACATACAGTAGCGTATTTAATATCTCTGTTGGTATTTTTAAAATTTCAACCACTGAATTTAAGACGAAAAAAAACAAAAAAACTTGGAAACTTGCTTACCCTGGTAACTGGGGGAAAAGGCAAGTAAACTGTTATTGAAAGAAATACAATAATTTTGTATGTGTTTGAAATTTTAAAAAGAGTAATTAAGAAGTGAAACAATGTATGAAAAAACCCCTAAAATGTTGCTCTTAGTACGTACAATTTCTAGATTCTAATTCATTATGTTTATGTTGTGTTTATAAAACTTTATGAACCATTCTGAGATTTTGGGCATTACATTTTCCTTATGTAGTGTAACCATAGAACTATAAAAACGGCAAAAAAAAAAAAAAATTGCTGTGTTGTCCGAGTGCAGTGACATTTGGTATTGTTGGGAAGTTTTTTCCCAAATACTGTACTATAGTGTTCATTGCCAACCACCACTTAATACATAAATGTTTGTTAGAGTGGAGTGGTAACAACATGGCTAAAATATGTTGTTGAAGGATCAAAAGTTTGGGAAATTGTCCTTTGCATACATCATACAAGTATCTTTTCTCCTTCCTATAAAAATGCTTTTTTGTCAAAAAATCAGGTAAACCGAGAATTATCTGGATTTTGGATCCATTGTGTGGACAACATAGAGTTTTTATTTGGCTTAATAATAATAGCTTTGCAGTACTGTATGCAAGATATGTGTGTCATTGGCAACCAATTTGTACTGTATTGTTTGGCTTCATGTTTATAATAACAATGAAAATACTGATAAACTGCATTAAGTTGTTTCTTAGTGTTTCATAGCTTCTAATGTCGTCGTAACAACTTTTCCAGATCTGAGTGACTGCTTGCATTTTTTAATTATCACTCTTTTGCAAGTTCAATACTAAATGTACCTTTAGTTACCTTTTAAAAGAAGTGAGCAGTTCAGCCTAATTAAGAATACATGGAATAGAACAGAACAGTTCCTACCAGAGTCTGTCAAAAAAAAAAAAAAAATTCTGTTTTAAAGGTACCTACTACCTAAGTTTTGTTTTTTATTTCCCTTCCATCCTATAACAGCTTTGTAGCAGTTACCGATATTTTTTTTTTCTGTATTCACTTTTTACCATGATCTTAACCTTAACCAAAGCTTATGTTACCTTACTTGACAGTCTTGTTAGTCACACAATTTGAGGCAAATAAGCACTCTTGCACTCAGTTGCCCTAATATATTTCTCCGTGATCCGAAGCAATTGAAATTAGTCATGTGACCGTACCGTACTACCCTCTAGACGGTTATTAATCATGAGCATGTAGGGGATTGTCCAATCACCACCAGAAGGACCCCACTGGAAATAAGTCTTCTTCTCTGAGACTTTCGTGGGCTATCCTTGGTGTTTACACTGAATAAATCCAATCCAATCATAACGACCAAGTGTTGCAGCACTGAGACCTGCTCCTCCCACTCAAGTCTTGGTCTGGGCCTCGGCTACCTCTACTTCACTAGTGAACATCAGTGTGAAAGGAAACATAAGCTTAGCTATAATACTATTCATATCAAATTATATGAAAATAAATTTATTTAAGAATAATCTAAAGTGTTTGCTTCCCTAAATCAATATTGTTTTAAAGCTGTTGCATTTTTCTGTTATTATTTTGTTATATGTTGAAGCTAATAAAAGCCATAAATTTATGATTTGTTCTATGTATTTTTTGTTTATTTACTTTCAGATAAGTTGATTGTACCAACTGTGTTAACAATATATAAATCACATGATATAAAACTAAGCAGTAATTAAATTAAATTTACAAAACTAGTTTAAAGACATACTTTGCCTACAAAAAATATAATATGTACAGTAACAACAATATAATTTAATTTAAAGTTAATATACATATTTTTGAATGAACGGAATACATGGTACAAACTATAGTACCAAATTAAAATTATATCCATTGTCATAGCCACTGGCGCCACCTCTGAACGTTAATTGTTTATAACATCTTGAGTAGATTTCCCGTACGATAAATCGAAACGGTACTGGGATAGGTCTGCAGGAGCTCGTGTTTCGTACAGGTCATTCCATTCGTAGAAAAAGCTGTAGTAGCCTAGGTCAATACATAACACCGGCTATATAAAAATTTATTATAAGATTGAAAATGTTAATTTTATTATGATAGTGATTATTATATCCATATTTAAAATTATTGTTTTATACTTTGTTAATTCCTAATAATAATAATAATATATATAAATTTATTTTATTTTATATTATATTGTTTAAATAAGAGTACTAAATTTATGTTAAAGGGACGGAAATGGAATATTCTTTCGATTAAAGATTGAAATATATTAAATATAGATAATTTATATAAATGTTTATTTTTAGACACCAGTTAAATATGCAATTTTGTATCAAAATGATATATTTAAAATATTAAAATTATGAGTTAATATGTATTTAGTAAAATAAAAATTAAAAATTAAAAATGGAAATAAGAAAACGGCATAGGAAGAAGGAAGAAAAGGAAAGAAACTTGGAGTGGCTGACATATTTTCCGAAAATAAACAATAATAATCATTTTGTCATTATTGCATCACGTTTTTGTGAAATTTTGTTGGCACTAATCGTCAGAGGTCAAGGTGCCGGTAGCCTACACGTTTCATATATTCGACATCGAATACTCGACCTTGAGTAGATTTCCCGTACGATAAATTGAAACGGTATTATATTATGCAGATGAAGATATACTTGAATTAACTTATAAATTTAACTAGTACAAGGACTTGTACATACTGTAATACATTATGCTGTCACTAACACTGGTATGTTGTATGCAATGGGAGACTAATTTACAAACAAGGTAAAACTTTATATGAACTCTTGGTAAAGGCTTTACCATTTTATACAATCATAAAATAGTCTCTAATTGCTTGAACACTCGTAAACCATAAACTATTCTAAAAACCCTTTTCAGTTATTGCACATCAACTATGTTTTTCCTATATACAATATTGCACTTTCTAAAAGTTCTTCAACACTAAATACTTTAAGTGGGAACTAACTGTCTTTCCAGTTTTTGATATGCACACACACCAATGACAACAAATATTGAAACATATATTTTCTTTTGAAATCTCCATCCTAATATCTAGTCAAGGAGTGAGCTCAACACTGAATGAATGCTAGGTTGAGTTTTTGTGACTATTGTAACACAGCACACTGTATTTCAAAATCAGTGGTGTATCTAGAGGGTGGCAGAAGGGCACTCGCGCCCCCCCTCCCCCACAGCTCCCTACCAGCAGGAGCTAAAAAATAAACCAAGTGTGAAATCATTTACTTAAAAGATTGAAATGAGTATGGGTCTACATAAGGGCAAAAAAAAAAATTGTTTGCCCTTCTTTTAAAAAAAAAATGATAAATAGGGGTGGGTGAAAAAATTTTTTTTTTTTTATTTAGTTTTTCTTTAAAGATACTCATCAGATGGAATAAAAATAACCCACAGAGGCCTAGAATGGCAATATCTTACATCAGACAACAACTTTTAGACAAATCTGTAGGGCATCTGGAAAAAAAACAAGATAAATTCACTCACATTTTTTTTAATTTGTAAAGAAAAAAAGCTAAAAAAAAAAAAAAAAAATTTTTGAAGTTTATTTGTTTTTCCGCCCCTATTTTATATTTTTCAGTGAGTTAGGGGTGTATGCAGGAGGGCAAACAAACATTTTTGTTTTGGCCTATTTAAGGAAACACCCTAAAGCTTTCTTTTCTTGACTCTGCCACCTTGGGAATATGAGTCCTTGATTGCACTTGTGCCACCCTGGCAAAATACAAAATCTGCCGATGAAACTACACAATGTTGGTCCTATGAGCATGTTGAATAACTAGTACACATTAAGAAACGTAGAGACTTAGCACTACACATTGATGTAATAACCTCTATATATCCAGATTTCCCAAAAACTTTGGATATTTTTCGATCCCAATTTTCACCCAATTCAACATTGTTGTAATGTACAACCAACATTAGGATCAAACTAACTCGACGTCCAGTTCATACCTCTCTTTCAAAATGGCGACATATTTCTTTTCGTTGTCATTCAGTGGTTCTCCCTCCAGCATCTCAAAGCGGTTGGAGAACAGGTGTCGAAAGGTAACAGGGGTTAGGCCGAGATTGATCTTCAACATCTCCGGCCAATCCCAAGCATATTCCCCAAAAGCCTCATGATCGAAGCCACCTCTACCTAGCTTGTTGAATTGTTCTATGGGATTAAAGGCTAGAGGGGTCATAGGTTCCAGGGTTATCTGACTGTGAAAGCTGGGTTTGCCTACATGCGGAATAAGAGCAGGTATCTCCAACTGATCTTCAATCCATTCCTAGCAAAAAAACATAACATAAATAATGATAAAAAAAAATTAACAATAATAATGACAAAAATTTCTGAAGCCGACACCACCTCCCCCAAAGGAGGTAATGCATTCACCGCTGTTTGTCTTTTGGTCTGTCTGTTAGCAAGATTACGTAAAAACTAATTAATGGATCAACATAAATCTATATAAATACAGTACTACCATCTATGTTCAACCTTACAGCATGGACCTGTTAACAGATCCATGCTCACAGTATATCAAACAACCAAAGTTTATGTCGCTTGTGATTAAAACAATAAAATTCATCTTATCTTTTAAACATACTTACAGCATTTCTTTTGATCAACTTGTTGATAAGAATTAAATCTTTGACTCCTGGAAAAAAAAAATCACATTTAAAACTTTCAATGCAATTATGACATGTCCTCATTATAACTAACCATGTCCAATCATCATAACCATATATAGGCATGGCATTTTTTGTCATACAATTTGTATAGTGCTGCAACAATTGAGTAAGGGTATGCAAAAAAAATCCTGCTTGCTACTAATAATCATCTAATTACTTTTTACAGAACTGAATAAAAAATCAAAATAGTTTTACCTTGTTTATTGGTTGCCATGTCAATAGCCATTCCCATGTAATATTTTTCTTGGAAAATCAATGGCCCTTCTTCCACAGGATGAATATTAAAATTTGCAAGATGGCTGATGAAATGAGACAAAAAACATTGTAATATAATAAGATGAGAAATTATGGACTGGATAAATTAGCATAAAACAAAATGGTTAAAACAGCTTGAGAGCAGTGTGCATTGAACCATGAAGATCTAGGTCCCTGGTCCCATTCCATCAAGCTGATCCCTCTTAAATACAGGTTACAGGGCATCGTCTTTCAAAAGACATGTTAAAGCCATTAATTAATAATTATACATGAGAATGTTTCCTTACTCTTGAGTGCAATGAGATGTTGTCATGGCAATCAATTCTTTCAGCCAATCAGAACTCAAGGGATGTGATGAGTAATCAGTTTCATCAGCTGAAAAATATGATCAAGAGTAAACAAAAAATCTTTAAAATTATTATTACCTTTCATGTTTGATACCTGAATATGAAATTCACTCCAAATCATGTCAACTAGAAATTTGGTTTAACCAAGTACAGTAACTCGAAACATACACCACCAATAGAGGGCAGTATACAAGATATAAAACTGACCTTCCATTGACAGGACTTCCATGGTCATCTCTGAGGCATGCTTTAAAGTGACCAATGCAGATTTGTCACTTGTGTCGAATGGTTGAGTTCGCAATGTATTCCATACACACCAGCACAGTACCTAAACATGCAAAAGTAACATCCATAGTTACCAACCTGAGAGATTTGAAATGCGTGACCACACCAATTGGGTGGCGGGGGGAGGGGGCTGCATGGCCACTAGGGCCCCCGGGGTCCAGTCACATAATCAACAGTTGGTTGTGACAATGTAAGTGCAAGACTGCACATGACTGCTAGATTCTACTAAGTGCTTGGTTGGCTTGTTATTTTGGTTGGGAATGAGAAATTTTCTTTGTGAATTGATTCTCTAACGCGATAACAAAAGCTCTCTAATGACTCAAGCTACTGCATGACCATTTTTATACTTTTAATAAAACCAATTTCTTCTAATTTTTAAATACATATACTCTGAATTTGTGCTAAATGCGTGACAAATTTATGATCACGCATGCATGTGTTTCCGCAAAATGTGTGTTTCATCCAAAATCACTTTGAAATGCGGGACCATCACTCACGATGCGAGACGGTTGGTAACTATGAAATGCAATCACTGGAAATTGACAAACTCTGCAAGGTTGCCATGCCATTATTAATCATCTTTATTCCAACACACTTTGGATATGTTGTACATCAGATTTTTCCAAGACATAAATGGGGCATCTGACCAAAAACTCTGGAACTGTTAATAAGGTAAAGATTTTGCAATATTATTGAGTCTGCACAACATATCAAATATTTCATTTTTCCAGAGCCGGTCTTTTTCTCCTCATCATTCTCCTCACTACTGTCACTGTCACCACCACCAACAAGATCATCATAACCACAATACAGTCAAAAAGAAATAAGGCTGACCTCCAGTGCTACAGCTTTCTTGCAGTTTTCCTCTTGATCTACTTTTTCTTGCAGCCTCTGAAACACCAGACACAATGGCAGAGAAAAACACAGTATTACTTGAGATAGTCTTGATAGAAGAGTCTGTGCTGCTGAATTTAGGACATGTTCTTCATCTGAGAAAAGTGTGAAAGAAAAAAATTCTAAATTTTTAAATTCTATTTTTATAAACATGCTATAGCAAACAATAGCCACATTGAGCATAATATCTATAGTCATGTTTTGATTATAGATGTCTTAAGCTGGTGTGTAGTTCCAGTCTGTTGATATCAGTGACAGACTGACATAATACTGTACTTCAAAATGTCTTCACAGACACCCATTACCGTTTATAAGCCTACAAGTCTTTAAAATATAGGTCTATTGTAGCCTTGGTAATGCTGATAGTCATTTTCTTTGTAAATGCAGTATCTTATTAAAGGGGAAGGTGTGAGCACTAAAAAAAAACCTTGCACCCTAGGTTCTCCTTACCCTACCACTAGTAATTTAATGAGCAAAAATTCCCCTGACAAAGAGTCCAAGATCCCCAAAAGACTTCATTTATCTCACACCCATGATATGGCAAGAAAGTGTGCCTACAAAGGATGCTTGAAGGACAGTGTTTAAGAGCGTGGTATTAATACAATTAACAATATTTCACATTTATCACTTCCTATATTGCTCTCAAACCAGAGGTGACGTCAGCTGCACACAGGTGTCCACAACATTTGAGGTATCAATATGAATCTATAATGTTATCTATTCCTACCTTTCAATTTTAATTTTCGTTCTCTAGCAAGTGGACAGCCGCAGGGAAGATGAGTAAGGTTCGACATAGAATTTTTCTTCTTTCTGCCTTCCCTCTGATACTCAACAAGGTCCTTAACACAACTCTTGATCAATCTGTGTAGAAATAATCTACTTGTTTAAAAATTTGGTTTTTATTTATTTGGTATTTGTTGAATAAACCTGCATATTAAGCTCTGGCCACACTGTTACATTTTCTTTGACAAAAAACTGTTGTATGCCCATATATAGTCATGATGTGCCTATATATGGTCATGATGTGATGTCATCATGACCATATTTAGGCATGTCACATGTTTTTGTCAAATAAAATTTGAAAGCTTAAATTAAAAATTGAAGTGAATTATGAATATATTTGTGGCTCTATTCCAAAAAAGCTAATACCCCAGTGAAAAACAGGTTTTAGCACTTTTCAAAAAAGTTTGAATTTAAATTTAGAATAAGCAAATATATTCCACGTCAATTTAAATCCCCATAAATCTTTGTTATAATCTTTTTGTACACCTTAAATTGTTGAACAATCAATTTAAGGATTGTTGTAGTAAATAAGGGAAAACTGAAATGTTTTGCTATGTGCCTCTTTGGATTTATTCAGTGTAATACACACAGAGGATAACCCACGAAAGTCTTGAGACTTTTACACTGGGAGACAATCTCCTACTTTTGAGTGTGCTATGTTCTTTAACATCACACATGGACCATATTGCACACAGGACCACAGCATCTCATCCAAATCATTACTCACCTTTCGATCTGAGGAGCAAATAGTTGTTTGATGTACAACAGCCAAGGAGGCACCTCCTCCCTCTTGCCTGGTAAATTGCCACAACCTCCTCCTCTGAAAATCGGCATTATGTTCTCATCATTAGGACAAACATTACTGTTTTAACATCTTTCTTTCTTTTATAATTATTTAACCAGGATGTCCCGCTCAGCATCGCTGATTTTTAGGGGAGTCCTCTTACATAAAAACTTACAAAATCCACAGTAAAATAGAAAAAAAAAATTACAATTTCAAAACACACACAAAAAAACAAAAAGAATCTACAATTCAAGCTTCAGAAGATATAAAAGCCTTAAAATGTTTTTTTAAGATAAAACTATTTCCATTTTTTTTTGTTAATTGGTAGAGGGTCCCAAATCTTGGCCCCAGAGCATCCAACTTTGAACCCTCTCATTGATGTAGCATGTATATACGGATATAAATTACACTGCCAGCCCGAGGTGACTTCTGACCTCTTGTAAATTAGGTCTTGTAATAACGGCAGAGCAAGTCCAAGAATGTACGTAAACTTTTGACTTACAGAAATTGTTTATCTATTTTACAGATGGTATAAAAAGTACATACTTCTCAATGATTGGAACCAATACATTGGCCAGACACTGAGGTTGTTCATTACAAGTTGCTAACAGTCTTGCTATAGGCATTAAAATTGATTTCTCAGGCTGCATCAGTGAGCAAAGACACTTGATTCCTGAACAGCCTAGGCCTACACATGAAGACTGTTCATTGAGTTCATCTAATAAAGAAGATACATAATTCAAATTAATGTTTAAAGAATGTCATACCCCTTAAAAAAGTCCTTAAATTGACTGGTAATCAACTAAAAGATTGTATTAATAGTAAAGAATATGTAAATCAGCAAAAACTATTAGTTCAAAAGTAAAGTTTAGTATGAATGTTTAGGTATGCTTTTCCTTTTACAGATTTTACAGCAGATGGTTTATCTTTCATAGGAGCAAGAATTATGATTGAAGCATGCCTCTTTGCTTGTATTACAAATCTAAAATATATAAGGAAAAATACATTACCTAGTTGCTCACATAGAATTTTTGCAAGAACAGATTCTCTCATAGTCAATGCCTGTAAATAAATATAAAGAAAATGCCATTATTTTATGCTGATTATTATTTTTATCTTTATCAATTATTAACACATTATTTATTACATGCACAGTTTAAAGACAAGTTAAAATAGCTGTTAAAGTATGGCATCATTTGATACATGTTTCACTAACTTTCAGATCAACAACCAGTTAATGTCTATTACATTTATACAGACATTACTAATATACAGTACAATAACAGTAATGCCTACTACTATAAAATGTGCCCTTATTTTATGTAGATATAGAAATGTAGAGTTGGAGACAAGTTCTGACAATAAACTTTGGCCTCACTGTATTCATATCTTACCTTGTAGATTTAAAGACAAATTAACACACTACTGTTATACCATAGAGGGCAGCCTTGATGAATGTAATTTAACTTGTAGAATCAAAGACAAATTATTAACACATTACTGTTATTGCAAAGGGTGCAGTCATTGAATGCAGTTTAACTTACTTACTTGACAAGAGAGCTCTCTCCGCGGTTTTATGTGCAACAAAATAGAAGCGTCCATGCATGCAGAGGTAAAGGCAGTCGAACCTTTACAGGTCCGGAGTGCCCATCCATCCTTCGTAAGCATTGGGCCAATGCTTTGAGGGGTCACCTCTCCTCCTCACAGCGAGTCTGTTTACCTTCCCAGTATATGCCGTACCCATTGGGTAGAGAAAGACAAATGCAGATAAAGTGTCTTGCCCAAGGACACAAGAGATCTGCACGGCGAGAGTTTCGAAACCCCTACCACGAGGTTTAGAGTCCGAGCCTCAACCGCTGCGCTCAAAACGCTTTCACAAAGTTGAAGAGTAATTGTAATTGCGAGAGGGAGCCTACACTGCATTGTTACAGGATTTGCATGGATAAATTGCGGAGAATGCTATCTTGTACAGTAATTATGAGATCTTTGAACTTACTTGCAGAGTCAATGACAAATTAACACATGGTTGTCTGCTCAGAATAGAAACAATAATATGAACAGCAGACTTATCAGGCAAATTAGAGAATCTGAAAAAAACAAAAAAGAACAATTGTTCTTAAGTGTTTTCTTGATTTTTATGTTCTGTTTTTCAACACTTTCCATTTTTTTTATCTGTACTTTTAATACAGTATTTCAATGCACTCATTTAAACTTTTAAAATGGCTTTGTTAAAAACACCTGCACAGGTGATCAAACTTTCCATTTCAAAAAAGATATTATTATTATTATTATTATTATTATTGTTTGAAGGTTTGCAAGGTGAAGTAACAATACATACATGCATACTGAACTTCACTCAACAATATTTTTGACAATCTTAGTCTTAATAGCAAGATTGTCCTAAGTACAGTAACTAAAATAAACCCAATAATTGGCCAATAATAGGCGAGTTCATTGGTCGAGCCGATAAGTCAGGGGCATCTTAACCTTCAGCTCTAATATCGGTGCTGGTTCGAACGGCTCACTCGCCAATGGTTCCGTTGGTGGAACAAATATTCTCGGATAAAGACTTTAAACCGGAGGCCCAGTGTATGCAGTGTGCACTTTAAAGAACCTTCAAGAGGAGTAGGGGGGTTATCCCGGTGTACTGCCCAATTCAGTCCCCTGTCGATTAATGGATATGCCACGTAGGACAGTGATTAAGTTCACTTATTGGCATATCCTTGTCGCTCGTGCTTAAAGAAATGAAAGGAATTCATAAACTATGTTTTCTTGGATTCCTTGTTAGTGTTGTTGGATCGCTTGATAGGTATTTAAGTCGATTTAAAATGGTACGTCTTAAGAAGCAATTTGAATATATAGTCCAAAATAAATATCCACGCACTTACTCCACAACATCAAAGGGAAATAAACTTGGAGCCACGCACTGTAACCAGGAAGGGATCATTGAAAACACTTGATGTTTCTCATGTTTTAGACTCCGATGGAATGCCTTGCAGAGGACATCAAGTGGTGAGGTCACCACTGCTATGACTCGCAAGAGGCACTGACATGAGGCGTGGAATTCAGCTTGGCCCATAACATCACAAACAGAGTCACAGAATGTGAGCATGTTATTGTAGATTATAAAAAGTAATGCTGTGATATCAACCCTGAAATAAGATAGAAAAATTGATGTCAAATTTCTATATAAGTAGGAAAAGAAGTATGATTAAAATATAATAGAAATAATAATAATAATGCTATGATGAGTATAATCAATATCTCATTTTATAATCCAAACATACTATTACGTATGTTTGGGTTTTATAATCTTGGAAGCAGATTTTAACATTAGAAAGCATAGCCTACATGAAGTCATGTTATAGTAACTCGATGCCTATCAAATAAGTAATAAAAATTCGCCATAATTCATCAAGGGGGCGAAGCCCCCTGGACCCCCACCGGGGGCCTTAGGTGGCCCCTCTGACCTCAGCCAAGTGAGACTCGATTCGCACCACTAGCCCCCCTGTCGGGGCCTTTAGCCCCTCCGTCGGGCAGGTCCTGGCGCCACCACTGGTCATACTGAATCTGAGCATAGAGCAGTATAAAAGCAGTGCCTGAAAGTTTTTTGGAAGCACACTGGAAACATCAAAGTTTGGGTGTGGATGTTCAATCAAAAATTCCCTTTAGCCCTCCAACCCATTTATATGCCCACCCCTTTTCTAGCAAAACAAGCATATATAAACCAACAACATCCACATTAAATCATGAAAAAAATACAATATATTTATACCAGTAGGTTTTACCTCATTTGTCTCATCCGCTTGTAGGATGGTTTGACAAGAGAATATCGATGAGCTAGTTTTGATAACGATCTCTCTACAACACTCATCATCATCTTCTGCATCAAGTGGCCAGGCAACCACATGGACCAGTCGTGCTTTACTGATTCTAGATGTAAATGGTACATTTGAACCGAAAAAGAACAACGCTCATCCTAAAAAGAAAATATTAGTTGTGAAAATACTACAGCAATTGTTCTATTTATTTTGATTTTTATTACTTAAAATTTGTGAGTGTGGTTTTTTCTGCTACCGACAGAATATTATATTGCACATTTTTGTTGATATAAAATAATTATTGTAAATTATTGTGTAGAAAACCAAAAATACAAAGATAGAGGGTATATAGCAGGAAAAAAACCATTTCCCAGTGTCATTGTGCTGAACTGCGTATTGGCATGGTACAGTACGTGATTACATAACTGCTGTAAAGAGGCGCTTATATTAGCTTTATGTTCACTTCATTCCACAATGACAGGGGCTGATATGAACCACAGCATCACGGTAACCCCCTACTCTTTTGAAAGATACAATGGATGCTCACAAGGCATGTGTACACTAGGCTTCCACTTCAAATGCTTATCCAAGAAGACTTGGTTCTATCAACCTAACCTGGACGAGAAGCGGCTCAAACCAGCGCCGATTTTAAGGCTGTAGATAGCGGTGACCCTGCCTCACCACTCAACTCGCTCCCCATATATTGAAATCTCAGTGTATACTGTTATTACAGAAATTCTAATAGTAGTGTAATGATATACTATACCTCATAGAATGCACGTTGGTCAGTGTAGTTATGGCTGTCTGCATCGTGGAGCAGAATGTTGCACAGAGTGGTCACATGATAGGACACTAGCTTGTCAGCAAGTTCATCTATCACTTCAAGAAACTGCTGCCTTAGCGATACAAAGCATGAACTAACAAACAAAATGGGAATATTTATATTCAACTTTACTGTCACTTACACACAAAGGTTTCTTTCTAGAGGTTTAAAAACCAAATCAAACCTAAATCTGTTTTTTCTTTTAAACAAAAGAAAATTAACATTTTAAATTTTTTTTATTTATTTAAACAAACCAACAGCGAAAACAGGAATCGCCACTAACAGGATTGCAAAAAAACAAGAAACATTACAGACGGGTTACAAGATAAAAAGATAATTAAAAAATCATTGCACTTTATACTTTGCCAGAAGAGAATACAAGTACGGAAAATAATAAAATATAACAAAGGTAATAAATGGAAAATAATATAATATAACAAAGATAATAAATATTTTAGAGTGAAAATTTTAAAAATTACTTGGAAAGGTAACTGGAGGCAAGCCTCTTAAAAACTGCTACTATAAGTATCCACATTTGGACAAGCGTCATAACAAAATCATTATATTGATATATGATTGACAAAACTTTTTTTGCAAATATTAACTTTTGAAAATGAAGCATGGAAAACACTAATATTACAAAGTCTGCGATTAGGAATTTTAAATCTAAAGAAAGAAATTAAATTACAGTTGAAATAATTATCTATAAATTTAAAAAGAAATATTAAGTCAAGGTATTTTCTTCTGTCAAGGGATTAAATTTTAGATTAATATCATTAAGAAAATTAACATTCACTTCTTTGGAAACAATATTTAGAAATAATTTACGAATAGAGGCTGGATCGTACACATGCCAACTCGTACACACAACTCGTACACAAATTTTGGCTAACTCGTACACAGAATTTTTGGCGAGCCTATACACACCTTTGGCCCTATACACTTACAGTAGTTGGCTAGCCTATACACAAGTTTTGTGTAAAGTTTACTTTTGCATTTCAAACTTTATGTATTGATAACAGTCATACTGATCTATATTATTAAAACCTACTTTCTGATTATTAGAACATGTGGTACATAAATGGTAAATAGATTTATAAAATTCATGTCGTCGCATATCGCCGGCGGGACGTCTAAGCTAGCTGATCAGCATTTCATTGAGAGGGCGCTATAAAAATTGTTAGTGCGTTTACTTTTGTCTTTTACTGTACAGTTGTATCCAAAAGGACATTTAAAAACATATTTTTATGAATAAAAAGCTGAGTAACAATTACAGATATAAAGCATTTTTAGTTGCACTGAACTATTCCACAGACTGACTACATCCAAAAAAGCTTATTTTCGTATAGTACATTCATGAAACATGATATCAAGATTCTCTTTTTGAAATCCATCAGGTGGACTAGGTCTACCATATTTCTATAACTGTCATTTACTCTTTGGCCTCGATAAACATATGGAAAATATGGAAATTTGGAACATTATCCATGTCAACTAAAAGATTTGTCACATAAAATTTGACCGTGTCGATGACCTTAAAAAGTATTTAAAATTAGTTTTTGTTTTGTTATTAGGCATGTAGTATATAAATACATTATATTAGATTTTGTTAAGCAGTATAATTATTATTTAACATTAGTTTTTGTTTTGTTAGGCATGTATACAAGTATATAATATTAGTTTTTGTTTTGTTAGGAGTATGTAGTATATAATAAAATCAGTTTTCACATCAGGCATATTTAGTACAGTATATAAGTATATAATATTAGTTTTCGTTTTGTTAGGCATATGTAGAATATAATAAGTATTTTTTTTAGATTTTTCCTTTTGTTAGACATGCAGTATATAGAGATTCATAGATTCCATTTTAGGCATATATTGTACATAACATATAATTGATATATCTTCCATTTTTGTTAAGCATATGTGTGTATACATGTATTGAATAATGTTTTGTTATGGCATATATTTAGTATATAATTATTATTTTAAATTAGTTTTCATTTTGTTAGGTATATGAATATAATTAAGCTTATGTAGTATGAATTCTAATATTGTAGGCCTACAGAATTATGTTTTGTTGGATAAATAAATAAATTGATAATAAACATGTGGTAATTTTAGTTCAGTACTTCCAGTTTCTTTTTTGTTGACCAAAAATAAAGCATAAATGATTGTAGCATACAATACTATACCTTTGTTAAAGATTAGTTTCATAAACCAATGACCTAAACCTAATTCAATGCAATTCAATTTTTTTTAATTGTCAAACACTGTAAAATATACGGTTTGAAATTCCGGCTGTTTGTTCACAGATTAAAAATATATAAATATACACTTAAAGAAACAATCACTACAAAAAAAGCACAACACGATACATCACATCATAAAATGTTAAAATATTAAGGTTAAAATTGGAAAAGTTGAAATTGCAAAAATTGGCTAAATTACGTCTTAAAATTCCAAGTAAAAAGGCCTAAAAGCAGTATGTATAAAATTAATTTAAAATGTAAAGTTCAAAGTTTGGCATAGACCTAATTATCTTTTCCAAATATCATTAAATTGCCTCATAGCAGTAGGGAGAAATGAATTTCTTATCCTGTTTGTCTTCCACCTGGGAAAGATCAGTCAACCAGTTTTGCTAAATAAAAAGTGATGATAAAGAGGGTGACTGCAATCTGACATACTTGGAATTTTTTATTGATGGCACTGTAAAAAACATCATCTATATTCTTGCACTTAATTGTTTCAATTATTCTTTCAGCTGTCTTACAAATTCTTGATACTCTTTTCATGTTCTGTTTATCAAGGTTGTTAAACGAAACTATTGCGCTCTAAATCTTAAAACTGATAAAAATTTAATACAGATTTATAAAATATTACCATGATTCTATTGCAAACATGGAATTTCTTAATACGCCTTAAAAAGTAGAGCCTTTGCTTGCACTTGCTAGTGACAATTGTTTGTATTCTCTTTTCAAATAAGTTTATCATCAAGTATCGTACCTAGATTTACAACGTTTAACAATCTCAAGGGCAATTCCGTAAATTAGTAAACCAAATGGTAAAAAATTCAAATACATCAAATGTGTATGTGTGATACATCATTATGAAGCTAATGAGTTATATTTTTGTAAAATAAAAAAAAAATTAAGAATTCACTTACCAAATGGAAAATAATTGGAATTCAATACAATTAATTAATATTTTGAAATACTAAAGAAAATGTAGTTATAATTTTAATTTCCAATTTTTTCCCTTGCAAAATATCAGAATCTGATTCACTTTTCATTAAAATAATGAATTAGTATTGTATTGTGTGATTTGGTGAAATTTTTTGACATTTTGTAATTAACGCCATATTTTTAATTAAATATTTAAAAATAATGAAAATATGGATGTACGTCCGTCACAAGAAAATGACATTTGTTTATTTCCTTTTCTAACCAGGTACAAAGAAATTACCAAAACTCTGTTATAAAGCATACTAGGTATACCAAGTGTATACAGCAAA